TATATATATATATATATATATATATCTTGTTTTTTTTCCCTCTAAACAACAAGAACTTTTCCCACATACCCCTAGGGTGATGAAAATGATTACTATTTAGATAACAAACTACAACTAAACACATACGAGTACAATTGCTGCTACGAAGCTCAAAGCAAAATTGGCTTCTTTCAACGAAAGTCTATAATAATTACAACCAAATAGTAGTAGTATTCGCCTATTCGGATCTCTATCAAGTTTAACCAGAGTTGTAGATGATGATTTTTGTCAGAGCACTGATACATACTTCAAAAATACATAAATTCCAAGACAATGTTTACACCATGTCAACCCACTCACAATCCTAGAGATCCATCACATTAACCAAATAAGAAGCAGAACTCATTTCTTGTACATGATCCCTTGGGGAGCACAGAAGCACATTCAAAAAACATATTTGCACCCATCACAAGTACTGTTGTTACACAAACAAAAACACAACAACTGCCTCTTGACGTTAAGAAGAGGAGAGAAAATGTTCAGCAACTCTAAATACGTGGCGAGTTTATAGTCATTGAAATATGTACAGAATGCCGTCCAAGTCTATTTTTTTTTACAAGTTAGAGGGCAATCCAAGGACATATAAAATTGTCGACCAAATTCACCACTTCAAAATATCTGGCTCCAAAGTCCAACCCTTCGGACTTGATGAACCTCCATTCGCGGCGTGAACAATGGCGGGCATACTGTAGATGCTTTCAAAAATGCTGCACATGAAAGAACAAGGTACTTGAGATAACTGTCGAATTTGATATTAGGTAACAGTATGGCTTTGACGCTAGAGCTTCTGAAGTTGAGGAGAAGCTGATGCAATCGTCCATTGTTTCATTCGGAACCCACCAATCAATCCTACTATATGAAAGCTAATTTGTGAGTAGGGTCATATTGAGAGAAGATCTCTACGTGACTGATAAAATTAATACGAAGAGAAGTGCAGAATATGGTTTAGGCTTTAGATCATTCGGACCTTGGAATGGTGGAGGTAGCACCATATCCATAAGGGAGTGTGGGTGCAAAACTGGTAATCCAACTCGACTGACAAAGTTGATGTTTTCACTTCTGATTTACACATGTCGTTCATCAGTCGGTCGAATCTTCGGGAGCAGTTCTCCCTGCATTCAATGTGATAGTAATAGGACGACAAAGTAGACATCATTCGAGGAGTCATTATTATGTGCATTTAATGTGATGGCGACTGGATGACAGAGTATGAGCATTATTAAAGAAGTCATCATAACGCCTAGCCATGCATTCAATGCGAGCGGTGTTGTCGAGACTGATGGTCATCTCTTTCCTTGTCTTGGGACTAGCTTTCTTCGGTGAAGTCCGACCTAAAGACAGCTTTCGGATCCCAACCTGAAGACGCCTTTCGACTCGGATTGTCGGTTAATGTTAGCTTGTTTGGCCAGCTATATCTATTCCCTAGGCGGACCTTTTGGTCACATGATCCGATTCATTGCATGTGGCCAGCTTTCAAGGGCTTACCAAACTTTGTGATTTTTAGGGTATAACAATATGCGAGTCATAAAAGTTTCAGAATGAAATTTATAAGATACATTCATAATGTCTAACAAAGTGGCAAAAAGTATACGGGAATATCAATAAACGATTTTATGATTGCTGGAAGTGAAGTATGAAATCATCTTCAATACATCATATATCAGTAAGCTGGAGATGCTGTAAGAAATTCAAGCTACATCGTTCCCAGGAGGGGGGAAAAGGATAAGTTCAAACAAATGGAAGCTTGTAAATAATTCAGATTAAATGATTCGCAAACATATCAAGCATCTCGATTAAAAAAATGACAATTATACGAGAAGGTATATCTGATGGCTTGTAAATAATTCAGATTAAATAATTCAAAAACATATCAAGCATTAGAGGCAATAGCCTATTAGAACATTCAACAAACAAAAACAAACTAAAATACATATTGGATAGTGAAAAATACTCCTATTTAGTGGGGTAACATTTCAATGAAACAATCTAAGCCAATAAATGTAGTACATGCAAATAAAAACTTAAAACCAGATCAACTAATTTGGTTCCGAAAAAGTATAAACATAGGTTATAATCAACGGACCGTATCAAATTATAATGTTCACTATTTCATTGAGATAAAAAAACAAAAAAAAAGTTATATAGTTAGTTTTCCCTCATAGTTCTTAGTAGCATGGGCTCATAATACAAGCTGTAGTCCAAAGGATTCCACATTAACCAAGATACAAGATAAAAATTTCATTTCACATGCTCCTGAAGCTTAAAAAGAATCAACCAACATGAAGCAACAACCTCTTCCTATTTACCTCTTCCTATTTATCATAAGCTGGCCTTTGTTATCCTGTATCTTCTTACTTTTCCAATGCATTTTATGTAATTAATTTATAATCAAGAAACTATGTAAGAGAACCTATATACAACTGAAAAAGGTTTAGAAATGAAACAAAGCAAGGAAATGTAATCTAGTCTAGTCCACTCGCTTCATTCATATAAAGATCTAATTTTACTGATAAAAAGAAATGATGCTAAAAACAGCTAATTATCATATTTTGCAAGGGACGCCACTCTACAAACTCTGTGTAATATGGAAAGAAGTTCCAAGTTCGAGTCAGGTAGCATGGATTATGACTACAAAATTTTCTCCATACATAAACAGGGTGATTGGAATAATTAGTATCCACATCAGTATACACAACTCAAATACACAAGCACAGGCCGCCCATAGACAACTTAAATACATGATGGGCCATCAAAACTACGAGTCAAAGCATTGTGATTTAAAACAAATCAATGACTTTCTAAAACATCACTGAATTCGCTGCAAAGGCATCAAGGAAATACAAAGTAAATGGCAGCCTACATAGCAAGGGGTGAGTTGCTGTCTCTAGTGGCGTACTTATTAACCCTTGTGATTGTCTATACAAGTCATAGCTCATGACCAAGCAGATATACCATTTCAATATCTTGTCTTGTAGATTAATTTCAAGATATCTAATGTGCAGATAATGATTATAGACGGGGGAAAAAGTTATATCTAATGTTTGCAATACATGTGATACCTTCTTCAAGGCCTCTGATTCTACAAGTAGACAGGAACAAGCTGTCGCGAATCAGCCGCAGTAGATGTAATTTACCTTCTTATATATCTCGCTCTGCAAGCAGATAAACTATCATCAGAATTTGTAGCACTACAAGATAATAAATCACTATAGAACTAAATGAGATCTATTATACCACTTCTTCATCCATGAAGACATCAAAATCCAGTAACTAGCCCGAAAGACAACTGAGACTGTAGTCAGCCTCAGTTATGTTTTACACCTCTGCAAGAAAAAAGGCTTGAAATTTGATTTCCGAAAACAAAAGAGAAGGCTTTCATTGAGCAATTTTCCACATACTACAAAGTTATAGTTAGAATATAAAACAATAAATCTATACCCTCACCATAACTTCGGAGTTGTGGTGTAATAATTAGAGGAACTTTAAGATAATATCAGAGCAATCCAACTTCAAATCCCACTGATCACGAATTAAAAGTGAATTTCTTAAAAAACTGACATCGTGTGGGAGTCCAGGTTTTAGCCCATAAAAGGACGTTCAACTTGCGGGGGCATGTTAGAATATAAAACAATAATCTTCAACCCTCATCATACCTTCGGAATTGTGGTGTAATCGTTAGAAAGATGTTAAAAAGTATATCAGAGCAGTTTGTCTTGCAAGAAAAAATCAGGTTCGTTAATAAATCTTCAAGCATGAGGAAAGCAGCACATTCAGCACTCAAACCAACCAGCTACTGATGTCTATTAGCCCTAAAACTCCAACAATAAATATAAGCTGAAGAGATTTATCATTATCATCAATACTTTGACTAATTAGCCCTTTTTCTCATTGAAATGGAGTTAATACCATGCAAAGGCACAAATTTGACAATCAGCTGTTAACACTGTTATAAATAGTAGCAAATAGCCCCACAATAGCGACCCTAATAGCGTTAGCGGTCCATTCCCGCAACACCATCGCCCAATAACGGTGACATATTGCGGAATATACGCTTTGTGTTCGCAAAAGCGGCCAATAGTGTGTCATAACGGTAAATAGTGGGCGATTGCATGTGAAATCCGCTTTTTGACTGCTATTTAAAAGCGGTTTGAAGTTTATTTTTTAAAGATTAAACCCGACCCTTGACCATTGCATTCCACTGTCTCCTGTGATTTTCGGCATACTCCTGCCACCTCTCATAGTCTCTGGCACCTACCTCAGTACTTTCTCTCACCTCTTTCACCGTGAGCTCCTCTTAGGGCAATCCTCTCACCGCTCAGCTCTTCTTCTCGAAGACGACGACTCTTTGACTCCTCCAGTCATCTTCGGTATTACATGATGGTTACATGTCTATTTCATGTTTAGGATCTCTTTAAATCATCAAATATGTACCTTTAGATTTTTAAAAATTTTCTTTAATCTTTCTTTTATTAGTATTTATACATATCTAAATACGACCGCTATTTGACTTTGTGCTTGTTACCGCTATTTTACCGCAATAGCCCTAAATAGCCTTAGCGATGCCTCACCGCTACCGCTATCCGCTATCGATAACCTTGGCTGTTAAGATAATATCAATGCTGCAAATTGGAGCAAATTTAAAGCACAACAGAGGTGTGCCATATATAATCTAGAAGAGCAATTTGTAGGCAAGAAACCACATCAAAGCAAATAACAGTCACCTTACAGTAGATAAAATTATCAATCCAACAAGAACAACCATATTAACAACTGATGTAAAAGGCTGCATACGCATCAATATAGGATCCATGGCCTTAACTTTCTTAGAAACTCAAATAAAAATTGAGGATGTAACTCCAAGCTTTGTATTTGATAGATCTGTACAGCATATGAAGATGCATAGAAAGGCGAGAGCAGTGATTAATATAGTGATCTTTATATGGGACACAAATGCAAGTATAGTTTATCGTGAAAATTAAGAATATATTTCAAATTTCCCATGGCGACTTCCTGAGAGGCCCCTTTTAACTTAGGCTGCGTCCAACAACTTTTACCTCTGAATTTTGATCAGTGTTGATAGCTTTCAGAAAAAGATGGCTTCACTACTATTTAGTGCCTAACTGCAGGCATACACAAATTGAGAAATGGTGCCAAACTATTTACACTCTTCAAAATACCTGGTTTTGAAGGAAAAAAAACTCTTCACCTTTTTATGTCAGAAACAAGTATAAGCATCCCACAAGATGATAAGCATACTCATACAAATGTGCAACCAAGTTTACAGCCAACGTATGGAAGCATCCATGGACAAAATGTCTGGTGTACATGTATTCACCGAATTATTGCTTTTCACGAACAAAAAAAGCTATCTACAATTCCTATCTCAAGTATTAGGCTATAAATATACTCACCAATTCCACTTTTGTGTAATGTCATATTTTCTTTATTCTGGTCTGTGACTTTCTACAGACTTTTGGTTCATGCGTGATTGGTTTTAATAGAAAGTAGACTCATGAGACATTCTAACGCCTCAATCAGGGAAGTCAATAAAATTTTTCTAGTTATGGCTAAAACATTGAACATTATGCAGGACTAGTCACTCGAAAGTCTTATATATATTATTACCTGTTCTAATGGAAGTAAAACATGGAACGTTATGGAGCACTAGTTGCTCGAAACTTTAATCTTATATGCATTTTCTCTCAAAGACAAATGTAAATCAAGACAAACCATAATATAACCAATGAATAAATGAAAATTTAGACAAGAAATTTTGATAGGAGCTATATATTTTTTCCAAAAAACTTGTAGTTGCTGCACGCTAGTAATGCCTTTAAATTACATGTATAACTGCATCTCATTTCTATTAAAAAAAAATGGAGGTACCATTGAAGTTATTCAATCTTACAGAGTAAAATCCCCCAATTAGATCAAGAAGTCATCTGAAAGGTTCAACTGGTGCAGACTCTTCTAGAAGAACAGCAGCCTGAAAACATTCAGCAGCTTCAACAGGTGATGCACCCTCAGAATTATAAAGCTCACCAAGCTTAAACCATGCTATGTGATTAGTTCGGTCTAGCCGTATTGCTTCTGTAAGGAAGCTTCTCACAACAGCTAATGGATGACTACCAATCTGTCTAAGAATAGTAGCTGCCGAAACCAGGCTTGGGACATGTGTAGAATCAAGATCTAGTGCTTTATAATATGCTCTCAGAGCTTCTTTGTGGAGGCCCTTTGCTTCATGCAGCTTCCCTGAAACATTGAAACTAAGTTGAAATTATATGGACTAGTTAAAAATTGACCAGATTGTAATTATATTAAGCACTTGGAATGCAAGAACTAAAAAAATAAATAATTAGGGGGGGCGGGGAACTTGGGTTATCCCAATTGATACATTTTGAAGAACACTAAAAACAATTTAATTTGTACAGGCCATGCAGGAAAAAGAAAGCCCGGGTATCTCTTGGTTGAAACCCAATGCTGATACCCAATTGTGCAAAGTGCAATCAACAAAGGTAAGCAATGAAATCACCCTACAGCTGTAATAGGTTAATCATACAAACATCAAAGGAAAACCTACTCTTTACAACCTTTTGCAAGGTATTGAAAGTGAGGATATATTGCCAAAAGACAACAAGTAGGCCATGCTCTTGTATGAAATAAATGTTCCAGACCTAGTATTCTTCTCATAAGCATGACCAAAAAATGAAGAAGGTTAGAATCTGAAAATAGGATATCTATAAAGGTAGCATAGGTTTGAGCTTGGATAATTAGAAATTTTTATATACAATCTGATCGAACCTATTGATGGTTTACCCCAGGTCCACCAACCTTTCTCACAAAACATTCCAATTAGAGTCCTTGTGCACTACAATAGTGAAATCAGACTCTTTATATGCATGATGAAAGTCTCTTTTTTTGCCCTTTTCACTTTATTTTGGTCAATCCACATGATGTTCGGAGATATCATCTGAGAGTTTTAACATAGTTTTTGCATGATCTTCTCTTTCTCAGATAGATATAGGATTTCTTTAAATGAACAGAGGAAAAAAGCACATGACAATACCTGTGGCATGCCATGCTGAAGCCACATAAGGACAGACTGCTTTCAATTTTGTGATACAATCCTCAGCATCCTTCCACTGCAACGTGCTTATGTAGACATTTGCCAGGTCGTACCATGTTCCTATTTCAAGACTTCTCTCTTCTTTTTCTTCCTGGCAGCCAGAAGGGTGCACATAAGAAATATCATCATATCAAAGTAAAAAAGATAAACTATAAAGGCTTCTTATAAATTAACAAACCGACTATAGTAGCCATGAGAAAGCATAGAATTAATGATGATTGCTGAGATAAAAGATAGTTAATTCAGTACAGAAGGAAGTACCTAGCACCAAGAGACATAAAAAAGAGCTAGCTAACAGCTGCTGTCTAACCTTTGAGGACTTGATTCCAATATTAGAGCTTTTCCTTTTAAGTTGAAGAACAGCGAGAAGATCCTTATATGTTTCGATCGCATTTTTCAGTTTCCCTTGTGCAATTTGGATTTTGGCTTTAGTTCGCAAAAGTTCCCCCTGATTCCACTTAACAGTCTCATCCAGAGCAGCATTAACAATAGTCTCAGCATCAATAAACTTCTTTTGCGCTGACAATATTCGAGCCAATAGAATCCATCCCTTAATACTTGATTGAGCTTCCATTTTCAGGAATCTTTTTGCGTATCGAAGTGCTGCCTCCAATTTTCTCTGCTCCGCATTTTCTAGGCTGAGGTTATATATGGTTTTACTGTCTTTTCCTTGCATCACTTCCTCAGCCTTTTCAAGCACTTCAAGTGCCTCCCTCTGCCTAGAATCTTTTTCTAAATCAGAGACAGAAATTCTACTCTCAGATGAAAGAGAAATGCCTAACAAGCAATTGGCAACAGATTCCATTTGACCACACACACCATGTAAATTAGAAAGCGCCCTGCGCGAGAAGGAGACACCTTCTTCTGCGAAAGCATCATACTCCCCACAAACCTTAGCAGCAAGTAACAGTGCTTTAAGACAATTTGGATCCTCACTTGCACTCAGTATCTTTTTTAGTAGATTTAATGCAGTTAGGTCATCACCATCCCCTAGGTAACAAAGGGCAAGAGTGTAGTAATGTTCTTTCCTCTCCATGACACCAGGAAGTAACTCCTCAACCTGACTGGCTAAAGCACGCAATTGCCCTGATATGGATAATGCAAAAGTGAGGTGATCAATAATGGATGGATCCCACTTGATCCTCTTGAGAGCGAACTTTCTCAAAAGTATCATCAACAGAAGGATAGCCTCTTCTACATTGTTTCTAGGTGTAAAGGAACCATTCATTTGAGATCGGAGATTTGGTGGACATGCATCACATCCACTATATAGAAGAAAAATAGCAAATTCTTTTTGCATCTTTGCAATAGTCTCGGCTTCAAGGTTCCAGTTATTGAGAAGAGCGCGCCGGTATGCCAAGATTGCTTCCTGATAAAATCCTGCCATTTTCCATAACTCTGGAAGAAACTCTGCAGCCTTGCAGAGTATCTCTTGCAACTTACAATTAATATCAAATCTTTCTGGAAGGCCTTCAGGTAATGCAGATTCTACAATGTCCAGAATAGTGCTACAAGATTGAGCAGCTTCTGCAAAGGCCAGACGTCATCAGATTAACCGTGCATCACAAATGTCACCATTGTACATATGAACATCAGAGATGGGTACAGGGTGGAAAGGGCCATAAACCTTCCCCGCCCTAACCAAAAAGAACTAAAGAAGAAAAAAAAGATTCTCCAAATGTTACTCCATCTTCTATATATGCCAGTCTCTCTTAGTCAAGAAACTTTCTGGTTTGAATTATGTAGTTAAATAATGAAAGAAGAACATTAAGTGACGCATAGGGCAATGGGTCTCCTTGAAACAAGGGTAGATTGACAAAACATGCTATTAGAAAGAAAAGGTTAAATTGATAGTATTAAATGGCAGCTCATGTTCACAATGAGACTTTATAGTTCCATATTATTCTCTAATTTTAGATACAAATCCGACTGCTATCTAATAAACTGATATCATGGTTAAATATACTTATTTTCTTGTTTCTTTTCATAACACGTACCCTTTTAGTTTTTGGAACAAAAGTATTTTGCATAATGTTAAAAACAAAAGGAAAAGGCAACAACCAAATTTTCATTCTTTAAAAAATCTGCAAGTGTCTTACATGTACCCAATAGTCTTCTTAGGTATGCACATTCAGAAATATTTTTCTCATTATTGCCTATCACTGACCATATCCTTAATCCTGGGTCTACAGAAAAATGATTTCTTCAGTGCCCTATTTTCTGTCATCATTAAGCAGCTGGTGTCACTATTACCTCCAATTCACTTTCTTAAGGGTTAAACATATCTGTAAAATTCCTAGGAACACAAGAATAGGATCCCCTCATAAACATCTAAAGGAACAAATTACTTGCAATAAAGAAGCTTGAAGTCCTTAGGGCACAATTAAACCATGAATGTGTCGTACATTTTGCTAAATAACGAAGTTGATCTGAAACCCAAATAATGAAGTTGATTTGAAACACAACTTTAAACAACAGCGAAGACATGTTTACATATAGAGAACAAAACTACATGCAAATTCCTCAGTTTTCCTAAAATTTTACAACATAAGGTACAGACAGCTCAAAAATGATGAACATCTACATGATTAACTTGTTTCATATGATTATCTAGTTCTACATTCTTACTGTTAACAAATTAGATGACAGGACAGAAGAGTTCTTTGCAATCAACTCACGACCCAAACCATCTCTATCTCCATCCCATCCAACTTTCGGAAACTTTTATATTGACATCTTTAATAGAAATAAATTAGAAAAAAGCTTTCTCATTGATAGTAAGCTTCATATGTCCTGTACATGCCATAAAATACATATCTATGTAGCAGTAGATAGAATAGTCAGCTGAACTTATCCATAGTGAGGTTATGGGTTATCCTGATTTATCACAAAACTAAATAGCCAACATTCAAGCATATGGTCTCCATACACATTAAAAAAAAACATCAGTGACATAATTCATTTATCATAAGTATTAGCCTTCTCCAAAATATTGAACATAGGACTTACTAAATAATAATGGCATTCCTATCATTCGTTAAGGGCAATATTATAATTCTTATCAATGACCCTAGAAGCGTTAACTTGGCTTCATATCATTCATTCAGATCAATATTATAATTCTTATCAATAATCCTACAAACATCAACAAGGTGTACAAGGTTCATAAAAAAATTCAAATCACTGTGCACATAATAAATAATATGAAAATAATTCCAGTAAAGGAACATAAAATATGTATAGCATGTAATATATGTATTAAGTGTGTACCTTTAAACCTCCCAAGGTCATGGAGTGCTATTGACTTTAGAAACATTGCTTCAAAAAGTAAACTAACAGCATGTATTGACATAGGGGGTGAATCCCAGTGGGAATGAGACTTGCGCCGTGCTGCTTTCTTGGAGATGGAAATCTTTATCTTAGGAGCAACTGCACTGATGTCTATTCCATCAAATACACGAAGTGCAGCTTCTAGATTTCCTCTCTGGTATTCTAGCCTTCCAAGCAATGCCCGTGCTTCCTACAAAAGAAAACATTCAGTTTTATTTATTCTTGTTTTATTTTTTATTTTTCATTTACTCTAATGATCAGAAGTCATAAGTGCAGTTAACATGGCCAATATTCTGGGATACACTCCAGAAGTTAATCTGCACCAGACATGAACATGCACATCTACGATGAGGATCATCTAGCATGGCAATAATGTTATATCTGCATACATGAGATAAGCTCATTACACCTATATAAAGTTCAACATGGTCCCTACTTTTGTAGTAGACAATGCCACTGCACCTTAAGGAGGTTGTGCAATCTATATCATGATGTTTAATCAGGAATCAATGTCTTTGATAGCGTGTAACTTCTTCTAGGGAACATTATATGAAGTTGGGTAAATTTAAAGAAAATCAAAAAGTGAGAAAAATGTAAAATTATCAAGGATTTATTGTGAAACTTCCGAAAAAGACAAAAGGATTTGTGAAGGACGTGAACCAGTTACCTTCCAGAAAAGAGAAAACTTACATGTCTGGTTATTCAAAATTGTATGTGCCTAGAGCACTAGCGTGCTGGCTAATCACCCCTCAAGTAACTTGCAAATATCAAAATCAAAATTGAACTAATTCGATTGAGTCACCTAAGTAAAAGTAAAGCACCTATTTTATTGCTCATGTAAGCATGTATACAACCATAGCCTCAAAACTTACTGTAAGTACTAAATCATTCCCTGTCCATTCATTGGTTTATGATTTGTGTTGAAGAAGTTCTCTGTTGTTAATTGCTGCATCCCTAAATGAAAACACACAAACAAGACAAGCATTATCAAAGAAAGACCAACCTCATGATTCAGGCAACCCCCCTCGCGCAGGGAATACTCAGCTTCTTCAATATTACTCATATCGATTTTTTGCTCACCCCCACAATTTTGAGAAGAGCCCCCGCCAATAGAGCAGTCCTTGTCAGCTAAAGAATCCGATGAAGGGACCATGCGTTCTCCACACTGCATAGTTTCCTCTTTGGGACTGGATCTATCAAATCCGCACCCCTTCATCCATCTTTTATTCATCTCTCACGGTGCTTCACTACAAAGAGACTTCTTTGATCGCCATTGCCCACAGTTCACATGTAATCACAAATCCTCTGGAACAAGTAATAATTAGCGAGTTGAGCCGAACAAAAACTTAAAATAAATTGGCTAACAGCAACAGAACAAATGAAACAACGTCAACCCAACATACAATGACACCACAAGCGAAGAGTCTTGTTCAAGAAGAAAGGTAGCAAAAAAGCAAAAGTTGCATAAAGAAAAAGACAACATGCCGCTTTTTCAGCAAACCCCAGAAAAAAAAACCCAACCGTAAGAAACTAACAACTTTTCTAGTCCAAAAAGAATTAAACCAAAAAAAAAAAATCTTAACAGGTATACAGATTTCAAAGCGTCACAAAATCACTGATCAATCGAGTTTTCATATACAGCTAAACTTGCCTCAAAATCACTAAGAAACTGACTTAAAAACCCTAGAAGGACAGCCATAAAGGAAATTCAGCAGATCTCAACCAAAATTAAGCCCCACAAAAGATGGGAAATCTAACTTCCACTGAACCTACACAATAAATAACGCATCCAGAGCGCAAATTTATGCGTTGCTGAAGAAACCAACAAAGGGCATCAGAACTGGGGTCGGCATTAAAGACAGTACCTTTCTCTCTCACGAGGCTGATAGATTCCAACAACCCATTTCTCAAAATCCTTCGAGGAATAAAACCCCTCAATCAAAATTTGATCTTGATGCCTCTCGGATCCGATTGAATTCAAGTCTTCTTGAACACAGAAAGCTAAGAAAAATTAGGGATTTGTCTCCTAATCAACGCGGCGATGGCATCGAGTTTGAATGGAGAGGTTGAAAAGGAATTTATACGAAGATTTATGAAATAAAATAAAACTAAAAAAAGGGTATCTATGTAGGACCAGACACCAGAAATGGAGAAATTAATTAATTAATTTGAAAAGAAAAAGGGCATAAAATGTAAAAGTTAATTTTAAATTTGACGCTCGGCACACGGCGGTGCGTGTGATGACACGTGGACTTGGAATAATTAAAGGAAATTAAGTAGAATTGTTTGGAAAACTTTGTGCTTTTTTGTAAGAATTTTTTCAATAATTTCAACGACAAAGAGATTCGCATGGACGCATGCATTATGATGTTGATGAAAATGAAAGAGGGCAAAAAGATAATTCGCGATTTTAATATTCAAACGCTAATATCATGCACGAAATATTCATGCATATAAAAAAAATGTCAGGGTTAATAAAGGAAAAATTGTGCTTGGAGATTCTTGAGAACTAAAATTTGGCAAATCATGCAAAGCATGAAAAACAAAAGGATAATTCGCGATTTTAATACTCGACTCTTAGCCCCATACAAACTTAGGAACTCCTTTTGTACATTAATAGGACGTATCTCCAGCCAGACCTTTAACATGGGTTATAATTGGGTCGCAATGAATTGTCGGGAGGCCCTAGATTGACCGGTATTATTGTCATGCTACCCACAAGTGTGATTGTTCACGAATCTTTTTATTTCAAGTCTATTTTAATTTTTAAGTGAAGAGGCAAATAACATCAACGGACAACTTTTGATTTCCTTAAACCGGCAATAAACTCGAATGCGCTTTGGTTCATTCTTTTTAAATGCGTACTCAAATTTTCTTGCCATAGAATAGTATAGCAAAACCAATATTAATTCTTTTGCACTATCAAATCGTTGTCCCCCATCAGTTAAAGTAGTGTGCCACCAAGCAGGAATCCTCTCTGATTACTAATTGTCTCATCAATCATCATAACATTGTCTCCAGAAGGATTATCAGTGGGAATCCTATCTGTACACAGGTCCTATCTGAAACACATGTGGACGTCGATGTCAGCAGACCACAATCTATACTTTTTTAGCGTAAATTGTTGGCAACGCTGTAAATGTTTAGAAAATAAACAAATAATCAAAAACTAAACAAATAATAAAAACAAAAGAAATAATCAAAACTAAATAAGACTTAACATTAAACAACTTTGAGTCATCGAACAAATTTGAGTTAACAGTGAATAGATTTACATTTGACAACGCACAAATTAGACTTAACATGTAAGTACTTGAAGTTAACATACTATAGTTTAGACTTAACGTAACACGCTTTGGACTTAACATATAAAATGTTACAATTAACATACACAAAATTAGACATAACATACAAAGCTTTGGACTTAACATGTTCTCACTTGTAGTTAATATAATAGAGTTTAGACTTAACATAAAAAGCCTTGAAATTAACATGTTTCTCACATATAGTTATTAAACCAATTTTAGTCATCAAACAAATTTAAGTTAACATTGAACAGATTTACACTTGATAGCGCACAAATAAGACTTAACATGTAACGACTTGCAGTTAACATACTCTCTTGATAGTGCACAAATTGGACTTAACGTGTAACGACTTGCAGTTAACATACTACGGTATAGATTTAACATAACACACTTTGGACTTAACATGTGGTTGTAGTTATCATATAGGAAATTAGACTTAACATACAACACTTTGGACTTAACATGTTCTCACTTGCGGTTAACATAATGAAATTTAGACTTAACATACAACACAACGTCTTGAACTTAATGTTCTGTTTTTAGGCTTATTATTCGATACATATGACTTAACATAAAAGCCCTTAGACTTAACTCATTACACTTAACGTCATTAATATTGAACTTAACATCAAAAAATCCAATAACTTACCGGTGTTATCGAACTTGCTTGTTGTTATGTATAATTAAATAATCCTCTGTTTCTTGAAAAGCTTTCGTGTGAATCTCTTTTAATCCAATATTATAGCAATACTCCACCATAGATGACAGATCATCTTCGTTCTCAATAGGAAAATTGAAGCTGCCGTTTGTTTCATCTTTGTATGCCAAAGATAAAGAATCATATGGAAGTTTTAACCTCTCTGACCCATCAAATTTGAGTTTCATCATGGTAGTTGAAGAGTTAATCTTTAAGAAAACTGCTTCATCACTTGAGGAGACAATGCAGATGATATCATTCTCAGCCATTATGAAGGGAAGGTATAAGGAGTAATGGAGAGAATTCTAGGATAAGGAGGAGTAATGGATAACTAAATAGTTATTGCTCATGATAGAGTAAAAATGAGGGGAAATTTTCATCCAAATCTCCCATTAGATTGCTATTAATGCGATTGACTTTTGCCCATGCATTTATCTTGATGGGGGCGCTGCGTTTGGGGAAGAAGGAGAAGGGCATTTTAGGATATATTTTTTCCCTAAAAGACAGTCACTTTTTTGTATACGGCTAACGTGGAGGGGCACAAACATATTAAATAAAACTTTTTGGGTCTGATCCACACGGGAAAAAGTTAGAGGGCCTGATCACATGAAGTTAATGTTTTTGAGGCCTTGACACAATTTTTTCTAATTTTAAATTTGACTGGCAAACTACAGTGAGTGTGATAACACGTTGCCTTGGAATAATTAATGGAAATTAAGTAGAATTGTTTGGAAAACTTTGTGCATTTTTGTAAGAAATTTTCTAATAATTTCAACAACAAAAAGATTAGCATGGACACATTTATTATGATGTTGATGAAAATGAAAGATGACAAAAGGATAATTCACGATTTTAATATTCAAACGCTAATATCATCCACGAAATATTCATGCATATAAAAGAAAGAAAAAAACGCCAGGGTTAATAAAGGAATAATTGCGCATGGAGATTCTTCAGAACTAAATTTTGAGAAATCATGCAAAGTGTGAAAAACAAAAGGGGTCCAGCTACCGACATCTCAACTTCCGTAAACTATGTGAGAGAAGGGAAGGGAATAAAAGGGAGTTCTCTTCTCCTTGGTTACACCCTAATTTGGGGAGTAACAAATTTTATACTATTAGGGGTTGAACCAAGGGGAACTAGGGTGAATAACTTCACCTCCTAAATGTTCCCAAACAAGATGAATGGAGGTGAATGGTTCCCCTAACTTCCATTCACCCTTATTCCCCTCAATCCAAACAAGCCATTATGCAGCATATAAGAGGGAAAAGTACGTGCACTGCACGTGTTCCCTTACTTACTAGTTGTTTTTAAACAACAAATGTAATGTTTTGATTGAACTCTTATTTATAATGGGAAGTTAGAAATGTAAAGGAAACTTTTTCTTGTTTAACATAGATGTTTTTTAAGGATCAATGAAAATAGGAATAAACCGTGACTATAGTATCTTGTAGAAGCTAATCTTATTGGCCATGTCTCCAATAAAAGGCTAGTATTTTTTTTTTAAAGTGCTTTGGAAAAATATATCTGATGATGATAGATAGAAAGGGCTAGCGAAAAGAACTTTGATTTAGATCACGACTGATAAGAATATAAAAAAAATTGAGAGAACTTGATCATATTATTTATTGCTTTGAGGAGTCTTAATATGAATGATCAATACAATACTATTTATCATTTTGCTTTATATGAACAAAATTTGCAATATAAAACAAATAGATCCATACGCAATGCACATTTACCACATTAGTTTTAAGAAAACAACCAAGCACCCCTTGTACTTATTAGAATAGGTTCTCGGTATTATTTACACAGGCCATAAATAATTGGGTTTTTTTTTTTTTTGTCATATTAGAGCCCTGAATAGTTTTTAGTCAAATCTTCATGTTTTATGGAAGATGGGTCTTATTTAAAACGACTTAATCTATTCCTTTATACAAATAGGAGGATCAGAGATTCACTGTTCATGCTACAGTAAATGCTACAGTAGTATTTGCTGTAGCATTATTACTGTAACTAATAATTAATTTAAAATATTACTGTAGCACACGGGTATACTGTAACATTTAAAAGGTACTGTAGCAGAGCGGGATACTGCAGCACTTCCAAAAAGTCAAATCATGCCATATTAAAAAAAACGGGATTACTATAACCAAAAAAAAAAAAAATACCGTGCTTTGCACGGTCCGCAAACTAGTAGATTGGTATTAGCAAATTAACTCAACAGTTCGTGAGGCCCACGGCGAAGCCCGTTAGAATAGGTTGCAGGCTTACATCCTGTTAATCATTATCTATTCATTATTGTTATTAACTCTATATAATTGTTACGTTTAGGGGGGGAAACTTTAATCTTAATCATGTACTTTCTGTACACTTTTAGGATGCACGTAAATTACGTGTGGTCAAATGTGATATGCCTTAGTTTTTATAGATTTTTTGTATCGCGTCTTTGCGCACGCACGAATCGAATCCGAACCACCTACGAGGGAGCAACACAACTTTACTATGTGACCTACTGGACCACCTTTATAAATATATTTTTACTGCCAATGCTATATGTAACTTAGATATTATAACATAATTATCAATATTTTTCATAGGTAAAAGTATTATTTCTTG